GGTAGGACGGTGGAGTGCATTAGTACGAGGCTGATGAAGGTGCAACTACAAATTGGCCGCACCTGCGGAGTAACTTTCGTGATGGGGTACGCCCCCACGGAAACTGTCCGCACCACCGCGGGCGGTGATGTTAACGCCAAGGACTCCTTCTGGACTGCTCTCGACGCAGCGATCCGGGAGGTTCACAGCCGTGACCATCTCGTGGTGCTAATGGACGCCAACGCACGCACTGGTAGGAGGCGAGACGGGTGCTGCGATGCCAAGATTATGGGCGCGTACGGACGCGACATTATGAACAACAACGGGGAACGACTTCTCGGACTGGCAGCAGACACCCAACTCTCCCTAACCAACACCTACTTCCGTACACCGAAAGGTGGAGTGCAGCACACATTCCAGAGCTCCAACAAGGGAAAGGAGAAGTACCGCCTCGACTTCATCCTCATGCGTCAGGCGGACCGGCGTTTCGTGCGCAATGTCTCCGTCAAACGTGTCGACTTCAAAGACTCCGACCACAACCTCGTGCTTACGACTGTCCGCCTCCCCCCCCGTGTCGCACCCAACCGACGAGCGCGGGGGAACAGCGGAAGCAGCCGGATCCGTATCGACCTCGAGCGGTTGAGGAAGGACAAACACCTACGGGTCGCCTTCCAAAACAGGGCCTCCAGCCGCCCTCCGCCCACGGCGCTCAGGCGGCCAACGGGAGAGACCGCCGCCGAGCTGACGGCTACGGTGATGTCGGCCGCTGCTGAGACCGCGCGTCTGGCAAGGTGCGCACGAGGGCAGAGAGGCTGGTACACGAGCGAGGCGCAGCACGAGATCTCCGAAGCGTCTAAGGAGATAAAGGCGGCCCAGCAGCAACTGCGTGGGGCCTCAAAGAACAGCGCCTTCGAGGCGACCCTGAAGGCGATGCTCAAGGCGGCGCGGAAGAAGCGCAGCATCGCGACGTGGAGAGCACTGGAAACGTTCTTAGAGGGCTATGTACGGAAGCTCGAGAAGAAGTGCCGCGAGGTGGATCAGGCGGGTTTCTACAGGCACCTGAAGATGATCGACGTCGAAGGTAAGAGGTCCGTGACCTCTCAGGACATCAATGACTAGGACGGCAAGGTCCTTCGGAACCCCACGTTTATTCGCCAACGGTGGGCACGGTGGTTCCACAAGCTTCTCAACACCAAGTCGCCGACCATCGACCTGCATGCGGCTGACAAGGTCAAGCGGTGGCCCACGTGCGTGCCACTCGACGACATCCCATCTCTACTTGAGGTTGAGGAAGCGGTACGGGAAATGACTAACAGAAAGGCCGTCGGGCCGGACGACCTACAGGCTGAGCTTATCAAGCTTTTACTGGACGCAGATCAAGGTCTCCTCCGCGAATTCCACGCCATTGTCGTGGACGTGTGGCAGACTGGGGACGTACCACAGCAGTGGAAGGATGCCACCATCAAAGTGCTGTTCAAGAAGGGGGACACGATGGAGTGCGGCAACTACCGGGGCATCTCGCTCGTCGCACACGCCGGCAAGGTGCTGCTTAAGGTCGTCGCTACACGACTGAGCCACTACTGCGAGCGAGAGGGCATCCTCCCGGAGGAGCAGAGCGGTTTCCGCCCACACCGGTCGACGCTCGACATGCTGTTCGCCATCCAGCGGCTCCATGAGCTCGCGAGGAAGAAGAGTACTGCGGTGTTCGCGTGCTTCGTCGACCTCACCAAGGCATACGATTCGGTGGACCGAGATCTACTGTGGGACGTGCTCGGACGCTTCGGCGTGCCCCCGAAGATGCTGGTGGTCATTGGCCACTTCCACGAGGGCATGAGGGCGCGCGTCCGACCGGACGACGGGCAGTACTCGGAATGGTTCGACGTGGGCCAAGGCCTCCGACAGGGATGCAACCTGGCCCCGCTGCTGTTCAACTTGTTCTTTGCCGCGATGCTCATGGTCGCCGTGGCCGAGTTCGACAAGGACCCCAAGGTGACGGCGGACATGGTCAAGATCGGGACACAAGTGGAGTACACGGGCAAGAAGGGCAGGTCGGCGAGGAGGAAGACGACGGTGGTGACGGACGCGGAGGCCTTGTGGGCCATGCTCTACGCTGACGACGCGGCCATCGTCTCGCGCTCGCCGGAGAGTCTCGAGAAGATGATGTCGGTCATCGTGCGCGTGGCCGGCCTGTTCGGACTGATGGTATCGGAGCCAAAGACGGAGATCATGTGCATGCTGCCGAAAGGGATCGAGGAAAGCCCGTTCACGGTCAGCGCCGCCGGCCAGACGTACAAGCAGACAGATCGGTTTGTGTACCTCGGACGTACCATCTCCGCGGACGGGAAGGCCGACCGGGAGATCACGAGCCGCAGCTGCCGAGCGTGGAAGTGCTACCGCCGGAACAGTGCTTCGATGTACGACAGGCGACGGGCCAACCGCCAGCTCAAGATCCGGCTTCTCCAGGCTGAAGTGGTGGAGACTCTCCTGTATGGGTGCGCCTCGTGGAGCCTAACAGCGGAGCACTACACGAAGCTCAATGGGACCCACCGCCAGTTCCTTACACGGTGCATCGGCTGGAGCAAGCGGAAACGCTCAGACCGCCCCCTGTCCTATGCCCAGGCCCTCATCCAGGCCGGCTGCGAGGAAACCATCGAGGCCACCGTGCGCAAACGGAGACTGTGTTTCGCGGGCTTTGTTATGCGCATGGAGGACAGCTGCCTCCCCAAGCGCATCCTGTTAGGAGCGATGGCGGGGGGCGTGGGATACCGGGGCGGGCAGGAGAGCGACTGGGTGTCTCGTCTAGGAGAGGACCTCGTGGCCTTCAACATGGGAGACGAAAAGGAAGGGGGGAAATGGGAAAAAGAGTGCCAACGACCCGGAGGTGTGGTACAACAAGGTCGAGGACGGGGCGGCATGGTTCATGAGGAAATGGCACAGGCAGGAGGCGGAAGCGTCCGCGAAGCGCCAGCGCGCGCGGGAAGCAGAAGCAGAGAGTACGACCATCTCAGGACCGAAGAGAAAGAGAACCGGGGAAGCGGCGGTGGGGGGGAAGAAACGGCGAACGGGCACTGCTGTAGAAGCGAGTAGGGCGGCCGAGGCAGCACTTGTGGCGAACTATGTACCCGGCTGATGTTGTTGCGCCCTGTTTCCCTCCCTGCTGTATGCTATACACCTTTATGTATGTCCTTTTCATTGCCTTCGGCCTCTGTGCTGTGTTTCTTTTTTTCATGACCTCCCTGCCTACTCTGCTGTGTTGGGTTCCTTGATTTCGCTTGGCTGTTGCCTTTGTTTTTGTACGTCTGGCTGTCTGCCCATCTGCCGCCTCTTTGTCCTGTTTGCTCTGATACTCTCATGCCCTGGTGCGTAGTGCCTGGTGCTGGTACGTTACCCGTTGGCTTTTTCTTTGGGCGGGTGTGGGAAGCGTCCTGCTTTATTTTTGTTTGTGTTTTATTTTGATCGGTTTCCGAGGGCTCTTTTCTCGAAGGGTCGGTGCGATACCTGTTCTTTTCTTTCTATTATTTTGTTTCTTTTTCCGAGTGGTTTGTACCCTATTTTTGTTTTGTTTCCTCGTGGCCTCGTATGTGCCGGGTTTCGAGACCAAGGGCTCCCCATTTTTTGTGGACTATAAAGCTGATGTGAGAAACAACAACAACAAACTTGAAGCCGCTTAAATCTGAAAAATTTCACCGGCACGGAGTTTCCAGGAAACGTTCTTATCTCAAAATCTTTTCCATGGACCATAAAACCGGAAAATTTGGAGCCCCAGTCCGAAACTGTGTAGAAACTAATATATACCTGAATACCTGTACGGTGAAAAGCTACCGCTGTAGAAGGTTGCCGTGCATGGGCTGCTCCTACCCAAGAAATATTCCGAGAAATGGTATTCCGATATGGAGACCATCAGATTCGACCAAAGGGCACTACTGACAGATGTTCTCCTGTTACAATCTACTGGGTGAGTGACGTGGGCACTGCCTGTAGGATTGCTTCTTTTGGTCGACAGGCAACAACATATTCGCCTGATTGAGAGCGTAGCATCTGATTGAGAGCGAGATTGCGCGATACGCTGTAGCCGGACTACCACTGAGAGGTGGAGCTTGCTGTGTAGCTTGAATTGAAGGGCTAGCCCGTAGCTTCAAGCCGCTACCCTGGTCATCCTGTGGGAGTCTCTCGTTGTGGAGCTACAGCGGGGAGCAGAAGCTACAGCAGAGCCCACCGCCCGACGCGATACCGCCCTGAAACAGTTTGAGCAGAAATAGCCAATCTGGGCAAATCTAGCAACTTGTCTAGCTCCTCGCTGCAGCATCCGATGACGATGACACGCATATGCTCGCGAAGCTGCTGATGAGACCTTCAATTTGCACCGCTTCTTGGAATAGCCCGTCCCCTACTTGCCAAGAAATGGCAAGAGGCGTCTGGACCCGAAATTTCAATTTTTTTGGCTCTCGCTCTCAGATACTTCGCTCTCAATCAGGCGAATATGTTGTTAGGCGTCCTGACAGATCATGGATTGATCATTCGTAAACGCTGGTGTTGTGGCATGCCATGGAGTTGCCGCCCTGTATCCCTCCACGCCAGGTGTTGGCAAGTCAATAGGTAGGTGTGTATTATTTGCATCGACCACGCTACCAGGTGGCCAATGAAAAGACGTTAGCACCAGCGGGATATATCAAGGTCCCTGGAACTGCCAAAATTAGAAAAATGCATACATACCACCATGAATCTCTGCCCATATCCTTTCACAGAGACTCACATCAATACCTCCACATACATGCCCTCGCCCGAATCTGGGAAACCACTAAAGCAAAGACAGGAGAATAGCGAAAAGGGGCACTTCAAGCCCAAACAGGCCAGGATGTCGTGGTATGCTGCACATCCTCCAAATTCAAATATCGTACACCCCCAAGATCCAGCGCGGTCATTATGTCAGAGGCTAGATTCTACACAGCAGCAGCCGTACAGACGAGTCCAACACCACAGCAGAGTAGGTCGTAACACATACACTATCAGCAACGCCAACCACATGCCCTCGCCCGAACCTAAAGAGCCACTGATGCAAAGGTAGATGTGTGCTGGTGTGTGCTTGCGTGCTTGTGGGAATTGTGGGAAAATCACAGGAAGTATAGTGAGCCTGCAGGGCTCACATTGGGGAGGGGACAGAGAGGTACAGAAGTACAAGAACCAGCTAGACTATGGGTCTACAAGCCCTCCCTGACTGATCATTTTCACTGATCATTTGAATATACCGAAACTAGAGTAGTTCAGGCGGCTTGACGACTGACCTTTTCGAGATCTACAAGCCTAAACTGCGCTACTGGCCGCACCGCGACCACGCATCAATCGTTCTATGATCCTGTCTGTGTCCACCGTCCTGTCGCGGGCAGTCCTCATGGCCTTTGGGTGGAGATAGCTGTTGCGTCTATAGAAGTACGCTCGTCTTCTCTCTGCTGTACTCCTATCGACCTCGAACCAGTCAACGCCAATGATATGGGGATGGAGTGTAGGCGCATCGTAGAACGCGTTTTCGTTTGAAGTTGGCGTCTTGTTTGAGAGTAGATGTGACAGATTTGCGTAGAATGGGGTAAGATGTTATCATGAACGGAGAACAAAGGGCTTTTCCAACACGGAGATGTAGCATGAATGAAAGCATTTGTTGGATTTCAGCTTTATTACAAGAGGACATCAACGCAGTAGTATTTTAGCAAGCTTACGAACGCATGTAGGATACCATGAGGATTGTCATTGGTTTTATTTGAAGTTGAAGTGGAGATATTTTTATGATGTAAATGACAGTAGAAATAAGTCCTACATATGTTATTTCACTTCGGATTGGTTTAATATTTATGTAGAATATGAGACATTAAGTGAAAGTTTTCTGAGGTACATCTTCATTTTTTTTTTTTATTGTCGGAAGGCAAAAAAAACAAAAATCTCTCCCCGCACTCTCCTCCCATTTATTTTTTTTTGCCGCAAAAATGAAGAGGGGTAGACCCGAAGGGGTTAATAGCGGGCCCAGTCGTCTGTACAAGTGCTTGGCAGCTGGTGCACTGGGCTATGTTTGTGTGTGTGTTTTCGTCCTATTTATTATGTCGACAGTCCCCCCATTTTTCGTGGTGAGACGTGTACTACACTTTTCAGCGTATGTTAAGTACTACCAGAACACTTTTCAGTGTATTTTTTCATACAACTACAACCTTCCAGGGTCACACGGTCGCCCCGGTCGTCTAGTGGGTAGCCTCGTAGTCTGCTAAGGGCCAGGTCATGGGTTCGGGTCCCGACAGAGCGAGTTTTTTCCTCGCTTATTTAATCCTGGTCTCCGTTGGAAGCGACGCGCTGCAAAGCTCGTTGTTAGTATACTTGATCAACTTCATAAGTCGCGAGGGAAGGAATTGCTGTACCCTTCTCGCGATAAAAATATCTCAGGCAGGAACCGCAGGGGGGGGTCCAACCCCCCCCTCCTATGCGACCCCGGTTGGGTCGTCTAGCTGTAAGAAGTGGAGGATAGGGGCCACTGGGGCAGACGACAGAATCCAATGATGGGAGAAAAACAAACAAACAACAAGCACAGGAGAGGGGGTAAAACAGCAGGACTTTTGTTTCTTTTTTTTTCTTTTCATGCCCCACCTTCCTCCTGCGGTGCGTGCTGAATTTTTTTTTTATCGCGAGAAGGGTCCAGCCGTCCCTTTCCCTCGTCAACCGTGCTAACGTCGAAGTTTGGTACTCACGAGAGCTTTTTAGCTATACTTCGCTTTCACTCGCACATTTCGTAAATTTTTCACCCCATGGGGATTCGAACTCACGACCTCTGCGACTAGCGGATTACGAGGTTATCACTAGACCACCGGGGCGACCGGTTGTTGTGTAGCGGGGCGTGAAGCGACGACGCTTCGTTTTACTTGCGACTACAGTAATCATCTCGTAACGCATCGTTGTGGGCCGCGTGTTTTCTGCCGGGTATACAACACGCTTTAGGCGCCGATTCCGATGCTGCGCGAGAGGTGCACGACTGGATATCTTTGGTGACAAGCAAACAAGTGGCAAATGACATTTCTGGCGCTGTGGAGGCCGTGCATGTAAGGGGGCTCGAGGGTGTCCACTGCCGGAAGAACTTGGTGTCGGTAGCCTGGGGCTCTAGGTCGCAGCCAATTCACTCTCTGCCTCCGTCTCACCTGTCTTTCTTTACAGCAAGAAGAGTCGGGTTGAAGGGTTGTCTTGTAGAGGGGTTGGGTGGGCAACGAACGAGCGAAAAAGCAGGAGACGTGAGGGGGCGCAGCTCGCCACCCAGCCCCTGCGTCACGTACGGTAGACATACCGGTACAGTTCTCGAATACTTCCACCCATTGTACTTCTCCCTTCTCCCCCTCGCTCCTCGACAAGCTTTTGCTTAGACATGGGTTGTAGTGAAGGGGGGGGTCTTTCTGGCGAGCAGGGCTAGACTCACCCTCAAGGGATGACCGAAACCTTCTTGCTGCTGCGCATATCCGCCGCGAGGCATGCGCGTGGTGGTGTAGTTGGGTCGGCACTGATGGGGTCAGGCGAAAAAATGTAGATGCGCGGGCCTCTGGCCGTCGGCGTAGGCAGCGATGCCCATCTCATTTTTTGTGCGCGGAGGCAGACACCGTCAGAAGGTGGACGGGAACTATGTACACGGCCCTAGGTTGGCTAGAGGGCGCTGCATTGCCTCAGTAACCTGGCTTCGCCATCAAAGGAGGAGGGAGCAGGTGGCGACGAGCTGAACTGGGCTGGTTGACCCCTTCGGCGCGAGAATTTTTATTTTTCAGACCAAGAACCTTGAGTGCAACGAGGGAGAAAGCGAGGAACCGACTGGGAAGGACAGCAACGAGAGCGTGTACGGACGGAGCAGGTCGAGTGGCGTTATGCTCGGGCTGACTACAGCGGCGCCGGACGGAGCAGCGGCACCGGAGCATGCGGGCGACATCGACCCGTGGCGCACAGACAAACATTTGTGTCTGATCTGTGTTGTCAATTTTTCTCGTTTTTTTCCTGATTTTCGGTGTTGGTTCTATGTGATGACGTCGTCACTGGTTTTGTAGAGAGACCCGTCAGAGGGCTAACCCGGGTGCCTTGGTTATGTGCCTGATCGTGGAAGACCCCTTCAATAATCAATGTGGAACGATTCTTAGCTATTGTTGATATTTTCAGTGCGTGCCTAACGCAGACGATCGGGAGAGATTCGGGTGATTGTCCATTGCAATCATGGCTTTGGTTGGTTGTTCTTTTTCACTGTACGTCCGCAGAAACATTCTGACAGCACTTCAGACAGCAGCTTTGTGCCCCGCCAGCTTCTTGTTCCATGCCTACCATGGTGTTTTTGTACAGACAGCACTTCAGACAGCAAGTATGCTGTAGTCGGCAATCATTCGTTTTGGTACAGAGTGGGACAGGTAGGGGGTGATGTTGCTGTAGTCGAACGGTGAGACGGACGTGTAGTTCAGTTTTGGGCACGCGTACGGTGCTGCAGGGATTATGTATAGGTGTGGTAGTACCTCTTCGGGCTCTTGGATACCTTTTTCTTGCTACGTGTGCGTGTTCTTTAGATCCTCAGATGGCTCTAGCACTTTCGTGACCACGGGCTGAGAGTCTTTGCTAGATTTTGGCATTTAGCAACTGGCATACGGTTTAATGTGAAGTCAACAACAACAACATTGTACGTGTGTGTGTGTTTTGGTCCTATTCATTATGGCGACAGTCCCCATTTTTCGTGGTGAGACGTGTACTACACTTTTCAGCGTATGTAGAGTACTACACTTTCCAGTGTATTTTTTCGTACAACTACAACCATCCAGGGTCACACAGGAGGGGGTAAAGACCACCTGGGTTTTTTTCTTCTTTTATTTCTTTTCATACCCCCCACCTGCCTCCTACGGTGCGTTGTTGTTGTTGTTGTTGTTGTTGTTGTTGTTGTTGTTGTCTTCACATTAAAAACCATCCCGGTCTCTCTATCCAGTACCTCCTTCTGTCTCAATCTCTCCGTACTAATCCATCACTTGACTCGGCCAATTTCCGTGGTCACAGGCTAACGTACCTAGAAAAGGTATACCAAAATAAAATGGACCCCAAGGGT